TACCAATAATTTCAGTGCTTGCAGAGAATACCTTACTGAAAACCGCTTGTCATTTCCTTCTGCTCGTCGTTGGGTTCAACACTCTTACTTATCGAAAGGACTACGATAGATCCCCTATACTTGTGGGTCATCAGACCCGTAGGTCTGTGATAAGCTACTCACACATCATTGGAAGGGCAGCAAGGTTGACGTAAAAGTCCTCCGTGATCGATTCCCCCTCCGGCAGAGTACCGAAAAAGGCATCCAGATGGGTTCTCGCAAGAACGGAAACTTGCGACGGCGGAAAAAGTGTTTTGGGTGGCTCTCTGTTAGTTTCCCAATTTTAGAGAATTTATAGAGGCGGAATTAGGTCAAATGGAGCAAGGTGGGCCCATGAGTCACCACCGCGCGCCATGGTGGCTCGTGGCCACCTCCTTCGCCTTCTGATTTTCTACTGAAGCTTCTAGTGTCTCTTCTGTCTAGAAAAAATCGTCAAAATGTTTCGTGGCATTTGGATTTTGTTTGGTACTGATTTCCAGGAAAACCAAAAACAGGCAAAAAACATCAAGTGTTAGTAGGATGGGAGTGATGAGAATATATTTGTGGAATTATTTCACTAATATTCGGAATAGTTCCGAGTGGATCCAAAAGCGTTTCAGGGTCACGGGAAGGCTTTTGGAACTTATCGGGCAATACCGGGTATTCCCGATAATTAATATATAGATAGAAAATATTTTCGATGGTGTAAAATTATATATAAAAACGTCTAATAATAATTAGAAGGCTTTTATATTTAATTTAATATCAACGGGCCTTAAAAGGCCAAGTAGTGGAAGGCAACTTGGGCCACCAAGGCCCAAGTGGGGGAGGTGCCCCCTTTGCCATGGAAGGAGGCTGAATTGAAGAAGGGGGAGGACTCCTCCTCCCCTCCCTTGGCTGGCGCACCAAGGAAGGAGCCCTAGTTCTAGTTAGTCCTAGTTGACTAATTAGAGCTTGGTCTAGTTCCTCTAATCCTCATAATTAAAAGCCCAATGTGGTTTTAATCTCCTCCCTCTAATTCTCCGGCAACGATTAGCTCTGGACGGTGATGCGCTGTGGGATCGTGAAGGCTGCATGCTTGCAACTAAGTAGAGAGGCCATACTTTCAGTCTTCGGTTCGAGGGACTATTTGTGGGCGGTTCGCGGGATCGTTCATCGACGGTTCAAGGGACTCCTAGTATGATCTTCACCGATATGTTCTTTTTCCACTTCAAATTGGTGACGGTAACGATTGTGATCCCAACCTGTTATGCATCTTCATATTGATCTTGGGTATGCGTAGGCATGAAAAATTTGTTTTCTACTACGTTTCGCAACATATAAGGCTCGACTCAATACCTGAATCGGTGGGCAGGACCTACAGCTGACGAAGTTGTCTGTCGTAGGCCTAGGGCTCCATTTGATTGCTCGCTTGGGCAGGCCGCCATCATGTTTCGACCAACTATCCGCCCTGACTCTGGGAGCTGCACCGGTGCTCGAACCAGCCATCAGTTTTGCTTCTGCTGTTGTGCTCGACTAAATTGATATGGACCTGCCCATGCATGTTGCGGTTTCGGGCATTCAAATGTCACCTCTTGCGAAGGCCTCGGTGGTGCATGATGCTGCCACCATGGCTTGCATTCCTTCCGCCTTTGTGAGTGTGCTATTTGCTCCATTTGAGGTGGCTCTTTATTTTTTCTGCGGGTGTTCTTTATTTGAGGTGGCTCTTTATGGAAGGGCGAGCGGCTTGGTGACCAGCGATCATCGACGAACCACAATTATGGAACTAAAGACTGCCTAGAACAGCAAGATGTTGCACACCAGTCAAGGATGCGGCCACGTGCGACGGTCCTTCTTTTGCTCGAGGTCAGTATTCTTTCTAAACCTTTGGCGATGGTAATTTTGACTTGATGCATTTGATTATGTGAGAGATTCTTTAAATCTGTGCGATAGCTCGTCCGATCACACATGTTTCCTCCGAGTGTATCCTATGAGATGGGCTCCCCTATCGCACACCCCTCTACTAGTTCCTGATCGTAATAGTGGATTATTTGATCACGAGATCATATTTACCCTATAAAAAATTCACAAAAAATATAGTGGATTACTTGATCACTGGATCATATTTACCCTATAAAAAACTTGCAAAAAATATTGTTGTCATTCTCATTCTAACAATTGTGAAAACTTAGCTCAGATGATAGGTAGGTCCATATACATGCAAAATTGGCAAAAAAAAGATTATCCGTGAGCTAAAGATAAATCAGAAACCAAGTAGCCACTAACTTGCTTGAAATAGTCTTTAAATTACGGTAAGATAGAAATTATTATATCTGCTATGCCCATTTTTTTCACAAGCATTTGAAACTCTGACATGTGTTTTTGAAGTACCGATTATATAGAGCACGTGTGATCTAAATATCAGTTTTACATTCTTGGAGATACTCTGCAAAGTTTAGAGATGTTCTGAATTAGTTGTCTTAGATTTGTCTAGAAATAGATGTATCTAGACACGTTTTAGTGTTAGATATCCCGGTATCTAGACAAATCTAAGATAAATAATTTGGGATGGAGGTAATACATGGCATATTAGAAAAAAAAAGAAAAAGAAAAAAAAGATGTACATGGCATATTCCAAAGAAAAAAAGAAAAGAAAAGAAAAGAGATGTGCATGGCATGATTGCGAGACCTGTCCTCATCGGTTATAAAGAGCAGCATTGGTGGTGCTGGTTACGACAAATGGTTGCAAAGTGGTCATTTGACAAGTATGCATATGGGCTTTTTTGTTTGTCAGCATAAACGATAAAATGGGTCATGATTCACATGTTCGAAAAAAACTAAATGCTGTTTTAGGCCCAACAGCAGTTCTAGTTTTGTTTTTTGCGGGGACCAGCAGTTCTAGTGTAGAAACCATTTTAGTGCTGCAAATGGTTTCAGCACGGCCCTATGGCTGTGTTTGTTTCAGCTTCGGGAGCCAGTTTCTCGTGGAAAAAAGCTGAAACCGGAACAAACGACTAAACATGGGCAGCTTCGTGGAGACAGCCCAAAACAGCTTCGGCCTGTTTTACGTGTTATAGCCCAAAGCGACCAGATGCCTACTTTCCCAACGAAGCTGGTAGAGATTCGTGATTTTCCCAACGCTAACCTTGCCTATTCTAGCAATTTACAGAAAGACTGCCATGATGTGTCGATCCCATCGAGGTCCGTTCCTCGACGAAATGTACGTCGCACCCCGGGCGTTGCTAAGTGCTGGTGATCCGTCCGCTTGGAGTCGCTGATGTGTGAATGTATACTGTAATGATGTAATCAATGTTGTATGCTGCTGCTTGTTATCGATGCTATGGTGTTGCTGCTGTCGATGCCGTAATGTTGTGCATGATGTATATGTGGTCGTGGTCGTGGCCTTCCTGAATATGTGTTCGTGGGCAACTAAATTTAAACGTAGTTATATGGACGGTCTAATTCTTTAGCTCTTTTTTGTACGGATTCTTTAGCCCATAGGACCAGCGCACCAGAACAACAACCGCCGTCGATGAAGAATAACGTAGGTTGAAAGGATTCAACCCGAAGACACACGAACGTAGACGAACAACGACGAGATCCGAGCAAATCCACCAAAGATTACACTGATCTCAGTGCTCTAAGGGCATTTCAGGCTTTTCACTAGCTCACAATCGTTTCCACAGCTGCGTTGCCAAACATCTAACCTTCACTACAGCCGTTTCCTCAGCACAACAATTTTGCCAGCACAGCAAGCCCACAGCTGAATTTGTTGAAACTGAAGTCCAAACAAACACAGCCATAGTATATACCGAGAAGCCGGTCACTGCAGATATATCACATGTACAGTTCTCCAGATATATATAGAGTGTTTTTTTTTTGTCTAAAGAAAATACATGCACCGTTTCAACATCACCGTCTAGACTATATAATTGGTATGGAGTCGCCACAACCCCAGGATGAGACGCTTGACAACAGTGTATTGACGGATGGCTGGTCGGTATACACGCACAGCACAGTACCCCTGCTACCAGTGCCTACTACTAGGACGGGCGAGTATCTTCATTCATTCCCGAAATACGCGGGTCGGCCAAAAGTAGAAAAATGCACTGCGCCCACCCAACCCACGCAGCGCACTGCACAGTAACGCTTCCTGTCAAAAGTCCAGCTCAATCATGCACGCACACACGGTAGACGCGGTGCGAACGACCCGTCGTGGCACGAGCACGCGGTGTCTGCCCGCCCGTCCGCCCCGCAGCCGCCCTCCCAAACGGGACAAGCTAGACGGCCCAAAACAAGAAAGGAAAGCAGCCTCCTACTGTGGCAGCCCGCCCCCACGACCGTCATCTCGCCTTCCATGCCATTTTCCCTGGACGGACAGACCCGTCCGAGCCGCCCTGACCTAGCCAGCCAGCCAGCCAGCATTTCCTGTTTCGTCCCGCGCCGCCGTGACCAAAAAAGCAAAAAATTAAAAAGGAAAATGCTAAAGGAAAAACTCTGCTCTTTCCCTTCTACTAGGCCTAGGGTACAGTAGAATAGTAGTATAAAAAGGACAATTGTGCTCTTTTTTTTTGCTCTGTGGTGTGTGTTTGTGGCGAGAGAAAATGATTTGGGGAAAGCAATATCGGGAGATTCGCACGTAAGATCGTTCGACACGTCGACACCGGGCGGGCCCGTGGTGGGGCATCGTGTGGCTGCAGTACCGCGGGGCCCCGCGGGTCGGGCTGGGCCAATGGTTGCTCGACAGCGGCTATGCTGCAGACCAGCCCGGTATTGCATACCGCGCTCGGGGCCAGATCCCTTTAAAAACCCCTCCCCCCACTTGCCGGAAACCTCGTTTTGGCCTGGCCATCCTCCCTCTCCTCCCTCTCTTCCGCCTCACCCAACCACCTGACAGCCATGGCTCCGCCCCCCCGCCCCCGCCTGCGCCTGTCGGAGTAGCCGTCGCGGTCTGCCGGTGTTGGAGGCTTGGGGTGTAGGGTTGGCCCCGTTCTCCAGCGGAGATGGGGCGCGGGAAGGTGCAGCTGAAGCGGATCGAGAACAAGATCAACCGGCAGGTGACCTTCTCCAAGCGCCGCTCGGGGCTGCTCAAGAAGGCGCACGAGATCTCCGTGCTCTGCGACGCCGAGGTCGGCCTCATCATCTTCTCCACCAAGGGAAAGCTCTACGAGTTCTCCACCGAGTCATGGTAAATTAAGTACGCGCTGTCTTTAAATTTCTCCCCAATCCGCCTTCGATTTCGATTTCCTGCCCGCCGTTCTGGCCCAGCGAGACGACCCGGCCGACCCCAGGGCCTTCTCCATTTCCGCGCCACTGTTTGGTTGATTCGGTTCGCTCGGTAGCTGTTTCCATCCGTTTCTGCCGTGGCTGCTTGCTCGTTTTTCTTAGAATCGATGGCGGAGCTGGCGTTCCGCGCGGCCGCGATTTCTTGCTATGGGGGGTAGGGCGTGCGACGGGTCGCCGAGCTATTTTATGCTCCGCCAGCGCCGGGAAGGTTGTTCATCTGGCGTATTTTGGGGAAATTTTGGTCCCGGAGGCGCCAGGTGGCACCCCAAGTGGAACGGTTAGGACAGTAATCTCTTGATATTTTTATCTGGCTGGGGATATTTACGTAAAAAAATTATATGGGGTTAAAGTGACATCGCAATTTAGCATGCTACCTCATCTTCTCATTTAGAATCTTACTAGACGCTACAATACCTTGTTGTCTGGCTCATCAAATCTGTGCTTGCTGCTTGAACAAATGAACCTCGTCATCTCGGTTATTTCCAGAATTTTGTTCCACAGGCTTTCCTATCATTCGTATTGCTAGCTCCGGCCATGCGGCCATTTTGTTGCTTGCCTGGAGATACTGTCTACGGCACGCACGGAGAAAAGAGTCACTTGACTAGCTAATGCATGGAATAATTGTCTGCAGCTGATGAAACTCCGGCATGAAGAGTCAAACCAAAAAGTAGAGAGTTCCTTCCAAATATAAAATGAGAGTTTCTGCAGACTTTTTCCCTTTCAACCATCATAATTTGCCTGTGATATTTGTTGGTGCTGGCGATGGTTCTTGACAAAGTAAAGGAGTCAATAAAATCACGGAGACTGATCCATTCTTTCCCCCACACGCTGACATTAGTCCATGTTAGTTTCCCGTTTCTGCCTGCTTCCATAATTCCCGGCCGGCGAAGTACTAGATCAACCTCCACGGTTTCAAAAAGTAGGAAATATCATACCATCGGAATGACCGCTGCTTAGTAAATATCCATTGTTGTTTGTAATCTTGCTGAGAAAGCAACGTTACCATTTGCCTCATGGCAAAGACCTGTATGTTGAGGTGCTAAATCTTTTCTAGTTTTGTACCACTGAGGGTATGAGTGGCGCTAACGGAAAAGGGTAAGCAAGTTTGATTGGCTTACCTTCAGCCTCCTTGGTTGTTTGAAGCATAGGTGCTTGCATGCATGTATCAAGCTGGTCACGTGATGAAAACGCGTAAGAATCAAAGTCAGTTAAATTAAGATATAAACAGATGCAGTCATATTTTAAGCTAGTGCTGCACTGTGAACTTCAGTATCTCAGATCAAAGAATTGAATAATGCTACCCCCTGTTTCTGCGCTGTTCATTTGGAAAAGACTGTCATGAACATCCTAATTGGTAGCCATGCATTTATCAGCTTGCCGGCTTTATTTTCTTTGCTCTCATTCCTTTTCATTTGGTTTGCTTTGCCTACCTCTGCATGATAGGCACGTGTAAATGCCATGCTTTGTCTAGAGCCTATGAGACAGCACGCTAATGCACCACGATGACATTCCATGGTTTAGTTTGTCGGAACTATAACTCAGGTAGCTCTGAGGATACTGACTGAATCTTGAGATCCTACTATATTCTAAAACGCATCTATAGCTGCATATAACCGACTCAGGCACAAAATCAGCATTGATCGACCAGGCATCATATGCATACACTAAAATGCAGCTAATGATGTAGCCTGATGATTTTCTGGACCTGGTTTGGATAATGGTTAATGTACCCAATTGTTATTTACTCTATGTCCTCAATCTCCTTATCAGTCGGTTAATTTACCACACTTAACAAAGGTCCAAAGCTGACATTGCAACCAACTTTACTCATCTCTGGACTAGTAAACACGAAGTAAGCTGTTAGGGACTGTGTGATGGGTCTATGTTACATGCATGTGTTGTCGGTCTATTACTTAACCAGGTCTGGGAACCAGTTATCCTCTACACCTATATATTGTGTCCCTAAACCTATATACTTAAGAGTAAAACAGAAGTTATGCCTAGGAATATCTGACTAAGCTATGGGATAGTCAACTTTCATTTTTGCTCCTGCCACATCTTTACTTAGTCCACAAATGACATATAGACAATCACCTAGAACCATTATTTAGACTTTATATCTGCTCATTACATGTATTAAATCCATGAAATAGAGGAAGCTGAATAGGCATACAATATAGTTGAAGCTCGATAGATGACTTAATAAGTGTCATATCCATTAACCATTTCACATATTTTTACATTTTTGCTGCAGTGATATTTTGCTAGCTCCCAGTTACAAGTTAATTAATATATGGAGATCCTGGGCACGTACATGTAAGCAGATCCTATCGACTTCCGTGGATCCGCTGATGGAATCGCCCTCAGGATTTCATGGCATAGTCTTGATATGTCACGAATTAGTTGTTAGTTTATTTATTTTTACATTGAGCTTTGCCCATCCAAGATGATAGAAATGTTATGTATTTAAAATGTAATCTCACAGTCATTGTTGTTGGTATGGATCGTATGCCAAAAATGTTTTACCATGAAGTCTATTAATGAAGAATATTTATGTTACAACTTTCTTGCTTTACGTTAGTTAAAATTGGTAATTTTGTTTCTTTGTGCCCCCCTTCTTGTACAACCATTTATCTTACCAAACTATGCAGCAACAAATATGCACAGTCTCTATTCACGAATTTCATATTCCCAAAAGTTAAATATTAAGAACAAAAGTTATGTTTCTACTTTTTCCAACTCATAATTTTCTGAACTCAAATTTTATAATCTGAAAACTTAATATTAACATTTTATTTGAAAAAATTTTGAATTTCTTTTTTATTATCAAAAAAGTTTGGATGACATAAATTTATGTATGAACTATTATGAAAGCACAAGCAACAATGAAAGTGTCTTTTTAAGCAAAACTTTGTGACTCATCACTCAAAATAGTTTGTGTCTGACTTTCAATATTCAAACTAACACATATTAAAGACGTATACATGTGTCTTTATATCACATGTGTGCTTTTCCTGCTTAAGGTAGTAGGACTATCTCTTTTTTGAGAAACACCGATTACAACGTAGATGCAGACACAAGCGCACATCACCACCACACATACACACTCACACAATGTTTAGTAAAGACTAAAATTGTGGAGCTTCAAGATCTTTGGAACATCATGAATGTCACCTCCTACTGAATGAATAATCCGCATAGTGCATCAAACCTTTGGTTTGATCTTCCCTGGTGGGCTGCGAGTCAAGGTTTTAAAAAAGCGGTAGGCGCTAATCGTGAATTTTGCTTATGCCTAGTGCAATGACCGCCTAGGCGCACTTATCCCTTTGTATGATAGAGGTGAAGAAGATTTTACAGCAATGAGATCGATGGCGCGAAGCCCGGAGGGAGGTATCAGTGGTGAGTTGGAGTGAGAAATCCCTCCTCTGATTCAACCTTCCTTGACAACATAGCCCAAACAAGGCCCACTAAGAAACCCTAATCTTCTAATGCATCTAAACCGTCCATTTTCTCTGCATTCCCCATCTCTCTCTATCGTTAGGTCTCACTTTCCTTTGTCATTTGTATGTAGCGACAATGGTGGCGTGTCTAGCTTCTTCCTTGCATTTGCTTCTCCTTTCCTACCGGCGAAAAAGATCTCATCGGTCATGGAGAACCTAGTTAGGCGCCTAAACCTCCGCCTATGGAGGCGGTAGTCTGCTCATCGCCTAGGCGCGCTTAAATGGCTCCTTTTCATTGTCTTTTTTTCTATGTTGGGAGTACAACCGCACTCCTAACCCACTAACCACAGGCTGGTTCTCATCTAGTACTTTCACAATTGTACCACTTTTATCTCACAAACACGAGGGGATTGTGGTGGAGAGTCATTTATTACAACTTTGATAATCAACATTCAAAGAAGTATTCAAGTCTATGAAGATCTTCTGAAAAATGTGTTTTGTCCAAGGCAAAAATATATCTTTGTTTTTTCATACCGAGATACGAAAGACCATATTCTTGTACCAATTTTTTCTAGTGGTTATGCTATATCATGAATAACACCTATATTTTTTCTTTCAAAATGGGCACAATGTACTCAAAATTTACGACGTTCATAGGGTTAGGATGGGGTGTACTTAGTATTTTATGTGAAATATGTAGTAACATGTTTTTTTGGGTATGCATATTCCTTTACACATGGATTAAAGAGTTTTCTACAAGAAAAATTATTACAAGATGCATATGTTTTGCCATCTAATTGTTTAAGATATTCTTACATTTAGGTAAATTTTGAGTCGCCTATGTGCTATTTTTCTCCACATAAATAGTTCAACCCCCCACCCCCCACCC